TGTTATTCCAAATTAATGGATGTTGTATTTCGTGAAAAACAATAAATATATAGTTTAAAAAAATCTAACATAATAAATGTTGTCAAACAAACTGGCAACAGAGGCTACTTGGTCAAAATAAGGGTTTAAAAAATATATATATATATATATTTAGAAATCATTCTTAATGCATATCACTGGACATAGTGTGGTGAGAAAACGTAGTAATGTAAAAAAAATATATATATATATTTTGACAGATCAACTCAAGAATATAAAAATGTGAATGTCACAAAATAAGGTGCATTGCAAAATGTTCAAGTTTATTTTCCCTACTGAACAAACTTAATGCAGTCTTAAGAGAGCCTCACGTAGGATCTTTCTGCTCCTTGATTCTCTTTTCCCGGATTATTTGAGCCAGATGGTCGTCCAAATCATTCTCCTTCAAAGACAGAGCCGCTCGCAATACCTGATCGAACACAAACAAGCATACTTCAGAGCACAGTATAGAGCGAAGGTCATCAATCTGATCAATCGGTCTTGAGTGAGGAATCAGGTCCATATTAATGTTTAGCTCTCAGATAATAAAGCACTGAAGCGGCCGGAAATCAGTGTGTCCGTCACTCTTACCTTGCTTTTGGAGGACTTCAGAGAATACTCTACAAAGAAAAGCAACAATGACAGGTTTGCAAAAGTGATGCATAAATCAAATACGGTCTTAAAGGAACAGTTCAGCCGAACATTTGACTACAAACAGGTCAAATGACTCCTTTAACTGGTCTCCCATATATAAAGGTATGCATAATCGTATGATCATCACCTATCTGTGACGTCCTCGGAGCTCCAGTTTTGCATCGGGCACAAATACGCTGCAGCTCGCATCTTCCTGTGATCAGCCGGAGGAACCATTTCAACCAGAAGCGCAGACATGAGGAATAGAAGCACTGCCAGATATACCCCAACATGCTCTGCAATACAAACAGCATCAGTTAGTTTCAGTCCAACTGCACGTCCTTCCAAATAATTAATTATATATACAGTATATGCACCAGGAACACAGCATACTAGATGGACACTTTCCATGCATTTTCTCAGAACAAAATACATACAGGTCATGCAAGCAGTTTACACCGGCTTTAGTGGCACACATCAGTAATGCAGACTTCATGCAATGGAATGAGCTGCTGATCCCTTGTACTGTGTGCATTCTGCTAGGAATAAGCATTATTAGTCATCTCTAACCAATCAGATCTGTGCTCGGTCAAATCAGACACACTGGTCAGCAGCATGAGCAAAACAGCTTACTCATAACCCAAAAGTCATGCTTTAAGAAAAGCAGCTGGACAAAACAACAGGTTGTTCACGCGAGACACACTGGACAACAAAAACACAAACAACCAGCGTGAATTCAACTGGTATATATTGGTTCAACGTTTATACTGCTTCACGTCGAGTCGCAGCATTTAATACTAAGTGCTAAAGATGTTTTTTGGAGTGCAATAACTGCACGGATCACACTTACTAGCAGTCTCGTCGCCCGGAAATGATTCGGATTGGTGCGCATGCGCAGACGAACG